ACTACTACTACTAGCACTCGTACTAGTACTAGCTACTACTACTGCTACTACTACTGCTACTACAACAACAACTACTACTACTACTACGACTACTACTACTACTACTACGGCGACGACGACTACTACTACTACTACTACCACCTCTACGACTACTACTACGGCTACGACTGCGACTGCGACTACGACTAGTACTACCTACTACTACTACTACTACTACTACGACAACTACTGATACTATTACTGGTAGTACTACTGTTACTACTACTACTACTACTACTACTACTACTACTACTATTGCTACTACTACTAGTACTATTACTACTACTACTACTACTACTACTACTACTACTACGACTACTACTACTACTAGTACTAGTACCACTAGCTCTAGCACTACTACTACTACTACTACTACTACTACTACTACTACTACTACTACGACTACGACTACGACTACTACTACGACTACGACTACGACTACGACTACGACTACTACTACTACTACTACTACTTCTACTACTACTACTACTACTACTACTACCACTACTCCTGCTACTACTGCTACTACGAATTCGACTACTGCCAAGAGGGGCCCGACGCGCCCGAAGTAGGTAAGTAGTAGTACGTAATGCGTAGACAGTAGGAAATCGTAAGTAGACGTGGAAGTAGTAGTGGTAGTAGCCGTACTAATAATAACAGTAGTGGGAGCTGTAGTAATACTAGTACTAATAAGAATGCCGCAAGTGATAGCGGCACTGGTAGGAGTAATAATAGCAACAACATTGGTACGAGTTCTTGTGGTAGCGTGTGTATACTAGCCGTACTAGTAGTAGTAGTAATAGTAGTAGTAGTAGTAGTAGTAGTAGTAGTAGTAGTAACCGTAGAAGTAGCAATCGCAGTCGTAGTAGGAATCGTAGTCGTAGAAGTATAGCGGTAAAAGTAAGAATGAGAGCACTGGCAGTAGCAATCGTACTCGAAGTAATACTAACAGTACGATCAATATTGCTAGTAGTAATACCAGTAAGTGTAGCACTGGTAGTCGTACTAGTAGGAGTAGTAGTCGTAGCAGTAGTAGTAGTAGTAGTAGTAGTAGTAGTAGCAGTAGTAGTAGTAGTAGCAGTAGTAGTAGTAGTAGTAGTAGTAGAAGTAGTAGTGGTAGAAATGGTAGTCGTAGTAGTGGCAACACTGGAAATAATAGAAAAGCTACGACCTGTTGTACTAATTGTAGTAGGCGTCGTAGTCGTAAGGATAGTAGTAGTACGACGGGTCGTAATCGTAGTAGTAGTAATACTAGTTGCTATTGCTGTAGCAGTAGTGGTAGTAGTAGTGCTAGTAGTAATATTCGTCATAGTGGTTATGAACGCCGCAGTGGGGAAATAGAAGCATTAGTGGCGATAATAAAAACAGTAGTGGTAAGAATGGAAGCCGTAGTGGTTGTAGTAATAGTAGATCCGATCGAGTAGTAGTAATGCTAGCAGTAGTAGTAGTAGTAGTAGTAGTAGTAGTAGTAGTAGTAGTAGTAGTAGTAGTGGTGGCAGCAGTAGTAGTAGTAGTAGGGTTAGTAGTAGTAGTAGTAGTAGTAGTAGTAGTAGTAGTAGTAGTAGTAATGGTAGTAGTAGTAGTAGTAGTAGTAGTAGTAACAGTCGTAGTAGTAGTAGTAGTAGTAGTAGTAGTAGTAGTAGTAGTAGTGGTTGCGGTAGTAGCCGTGGTAGAAGTCGTAGTAGTAGGAGTAGTAGTAGTAATGGTAGTAGTAGTAGTAGTAGTAGCAGTGGCAATGGTAGAAGTAGTAACACTAGTAGTAGTAGTAGTAGTAGTAGTAGTAGTAGTAGTGTTCGTAGTAGTAGTAGTTGTAGTAGTAATAGTCGTACCAATAGTAATAGTAGTATCATTCGTAGTAGTAGTAATATGGGTAGTCGTAGTAGTATTCGTAAAAGTATTCAGATTACTAGTAGTAGTAGTAGTAGTAGTAGTAGTGGGGATAATACCATTAGTAGAAATAGTTGTGGTAGCAGAAGTAGTAGTAGGAATAGTAGTAGTAGTAGTAGCAGTAGTAGTAGTAGTAGTCGTAGTAGTAGTAGTAGTAGTAGCCGTGATAGTATTAGTAGTAGTAGTAGTAGCAGTAGTAGTGGTAGTAGTGGTAGTGGTACTAGGTGGTAGTGGTAGTAGTAGTAGTAGTAGTAGTGGTAGTAGTAGTAGTAGTAGTAGTAGTAGTAGTAGTGGTAATAGTAGTAGTAGTAGTTGTTGTTGTAGAAGTAGTAGTAGTAGTAGTAGTAGTAGTAGTAATAGTAGTAGTAGTAGTAGTAGTAGTAATAGAAATAATCGTAGTAGTAGTAGTAGTAGTAGTAGTAGTAGTAGTAGTAGTAGTAGTAGTAGTAGAGGTAGCAGTAGGAGTAGTAGTAGTAGTAGTAGAAATAGTAGACGTAGTAATAGTAGTAGTAGTAGTAGTAGTAGTAGGATTATTATTCGTAGTAGTAGTAATAGTCGTAGTAGTAGTAGCAGTAGCAGTAGCAGTAGTAGTAGTAGTAGTAGTCGTAATAATAGTAGTAGTAGTAGTAGTAGTAGTAATAGTAATATAGAAGTGGTAATTCGTAGTCGTAGTAGTCATAGTAGTAGTAGTAGTAGTAGTAGTAGTAGTAGAAAAAGTAATAGTAGTAGTAGTAGTAGTAGTAGTAGTAGTAGTAATAGTAGTAGTGGTGGTAGTAGTAGTAGTAGTAGCAGTAGCAGTAGTTAGTTAGTAGTAGTAGTAGTAGTAGCAGTAGTAGTGTAGTAGTAGTAGTAGTAGTAGTAGTAGTAGTAGTAGGTAGTAGTGGTAGTAGTAGTAGTAATAGTAGTAGTCTTAGCAGTAGTAGTAGTAGTAGTCGTAGTAGTAGTAGTAGTAGTAGTAGTAGTAGTAGTCGTAATAATAATAGTAGTAGTAGTAGTAGTAGTAGTACTAGTAGTACTAGTAGTAGTAGTAGTAGTAGTAGTAGTAGTAGTAGTAGTAGTAGTAGTAGTGGTAGTAGTAGTAGTAGTAGTGGTGGTAGTAGTAGTAGTAGTAGTAGTAGTGGTAGTAGTGTTGGTGGTAGCAGCTGTAGCACAACGGCACCCCCAAACTATGCGCACGCCGCGAAAACGTGATTTGGAACGAACGACCCCTCTGGGCGGAGCAACGACAGGCCTCCACGGAGCGGGCTCGCCGCATACCGTGCTACGCCACCGGCACCCACAAAATTTGAACCAGCCCTGGCTTGTGGCCTCTCTGTCCAGGGTGGCTTTGAATAAATCGTGGGAACGCATGAAGCGGGAGTCCTTCTGGTTGCAATAGGGCCCCCAGCAGCTTCGTTGAAGTGCGAGGAAGTCTCGGGCGAGAGCGCCGTTCCTGACTCTGGGGGCCTCTCTGGCCAGGCCCTCTCGGAGTATATCGTGACAAGGAGCGGCCTCGCCGCATCTTTCCAACTCCCACTCCTCCCCACCGCCCATCTTGCCCCCCCTACACCTCCTCTTTCTCTGAGCAGGCCGATCTCCAACGCCGGCCTCCAGGCAAGCCTTGAACTCAGATAAAAGGTGGCGCCCCAAATGCTCCCAACCGCCCGGGTAGTAAAAACAAGGGGTCGTCGGATGTGGCGTAAGCCTTTCGAAATGCAATGGAAGCCTTTCAAAAGTCACCAAGCACCGGCACTCGTCGTTCCGGCACTGGAAAAGTCCATAGTACTCCGCTCGTAAACCCGTGTACTCTGACTCCTCACATGCTTGGGCGCATCCTCTCCCTGGGCACACATCGAACCTGGCGAGCAGCGACGTCGGCGCGGTGTGAGCCGCCGTCTGCGTAGCCGCCGCCCCTCCAGCCTCGGGCTTCTTCAGCTGCACGAGCGCGGCGTGTTCGCTCTCGCCCGTGGCCTCGCACGCCTGGTGGCCTGTGGGCTCGTCGCTCGTGAACGGCATCGGGGCAAGCGGCGCAGCAAGCAACGCGGCGCGGCGCCGCGCGATGGGCGTCGGAAGTGGCTCGAGCTCGAGCCAAAATGGCTATGGATGTTGTTGTTGTTGTTGCTGCTGCTGTTGTTGTTGGTGCTGTTGTTGTTGTTGTTGATGTTGTTGATGATGGTGATGTTGATGTTGATGTTGAAGTCGATGTTGTTGTTATTGTTGTTGTTGGTGCTGTTGTTGTTGTTGTTGGTGTTGTTGTTGTTGTTGTTGTTGTTGTTGTTGTTGTTGTTGTTGTTGTTGTTTGTTGTTTATTGTTGTTGTTTGTTGGTGGTGGTTGTTGTTGTTGTTGGTGGTGGTTGTTGCTGCTGTTGTTGTTGTTGCTGGTGATGTTGCTGTTGTTGTTGTTGGTGTTGTTGTTGGTTGTTGTTGTTGTTGTTATTATTATTACTGTTGTTGTTGTTGTTGTTGTTGTTGTCATCGTCGTCCTCCCCCCGCGACCTACTGGGCGCTGGGGGGGCGCTGCTGGGGGGGCCAGCGCAGTGTCGCTATACTCAGATTCTTACCAAACCTCGCCATCCCAGGAAGGTTGCGATCTGCGAAACAGTCGTCAGTTTCGGGGTCAACGGAGTGACGTCCTGCGCAAATTCAGAGTAGACCTCACCATCCCTGGGGGGGGGCGATCAGCGAAACGGTCGCCACTTCCGAGGACTGTTGGGGGGGCCAGCACAATGACGACATATTCAGATTCACATTATACATCGCCATCCCAGGGGGGGGCGCGATCTGCAAAGCTGTCGCCACTTTCGAAAACCGCTCGGGGGAAGCACAGTGACGCCACACCAGATAAAAATTATCCCGGCAAAGCAACCTAACAGCGATGTGTATAAGCATATCTGGAAGCATTCCCCTTTCAGATTCAGGTGAGAATCCAGTTGTAGGATCGCCCCCGTTCGTCCGGCCCAAGTTGCATTTCCCGGGGGGTGGTGGGGGTGGGGTGGGGGCCGGGTCACGACCGATACGCGCCAGAAGATACGCAAGATACGCTAACAGTCTCACACAGAGGCGCGCCGCGAGGCCGCTGCGGAAGGGGGGGGCGCCTGCAGCTGCTCCACGATCAGGCCCAGGTCCTTCTCGCGCTCCTGGGGCGGCAAGAAGGAGGAGGGATGGGAGAGGGAGTGGGAGAGCACCGACGCGAGCGGAAAGCCGACTCGGGTAGAGTGGCCCGAAGGCGCTGCACGGTGCACCCAGAGCTGAAGCCGAAGCCAAAGCTGAAGTGCACTGAAAAAATTGACAGGGCCCAACCGCCAGGTTTGGTTGACATGTCCGCCTCCGGGGAGGGGCAGGGAGGACCGAACCTCAGATCCGGGCGACGTAGAGCAATAGTCGCGACAGCTGGCTCGTCGCCCTTTTCGGCCCCTGGAGGTCAGTTCCTGGGATGAAAAAACATCCGCGCTGGAGAAGGGTCGGGAACGGCCAAGAGGGGGGCGCCCAAGAGGGGGGGGCGCAAATCATGACCGGCGGGATGTGCGCGGCCCAAGACGAGGCGCCATGAAATCTGGAGAAATATCACGGCCTCCGCCATCATATCCACCCCCCCCATAGTCATCACCCCCCTCTTGGCCGCCCTGCACGGTTCCCCCCCGGGACGCAGGCGACCCGAGAGAAGAGGAGGAGGAGGAGGAGAAGGAGGAGGAGGAGGAGGAGGAGGAGGAGAAGGAGGTGGAGGAGAAGGTGGAGGTGGAGGAGGGGGAGGAGGAGATGGCCGGAGGAGGAGGAGGAGGAGGGAGGAGGGTAGGACTAAGACTAGGACTAGGACGGTGGCCTGCCTCCGAAGAGGCAGGTCCAGAGAAGGAGGAGGGAGGGGGAGGAGAAAGGAGGAGGTGGAGGAGGAGGAGGAGGAGGAGGTGGAGGTGGAGGAGGGGGAGGGGGGGGAGGAGATGGGGGGGGAGGAGGAGGAGGAGGAGGAGGAGGAGAAGGGAAGAGGAGGAGGAGGAGAGGGAGGAGAAGGAGGAGGTGGAGGTGGAGGTGGGGGAGGGGAGGAGGAGGAGGAGGAGGAGGAGTGGAGGAGGAGGGAGGAGGGGGGGGGGAGGAGGAGGGAGGAGGAGGAGGAGGATGAGGAGGAGGAGGAGGAGGAGGGAGAGGAGGAGCGAACGAACCCCAGGGAGAGGCGCGTCGATCTATAATGGGCGCGCACCGCCGTGCGCGCTCGGGCCCAGCCTCAGGGCGAGGCGAGAGGCCTGCATGTAGTTCTTGTGGGTGTTGTACGACTCGTCGATGTTGCCATCGATCTTGATCGTGTGGTACACCACGGCGAGGCGGATGAGCACGTGGTCGATCTTGTCATCGTCGGACCCGAGCGGGTCGAAATTGATGTCGTGCAGGCCAAGCCTGGCGAGTGCACATTTGTGAAGTCGTCCACGAGGCAATGCAGCACGGTGCCACAATCGTTTGCAGACCAGATAGTGACTGAAGCCGTCGGGGTGAAACTTTGGGTTGCAGCCAAGAACGCAACCACGAAGGACGGGCTGTACGTGCATGCGATAAGACGTGGCCCACCCACCCGATAGTGTTTTCATCACAGGCCAAAAGCGCGATGGCGGCAACTCGGCGATCTTCGGGCGGACGCGGCTCCATGCGATCTTCATGTTGAACGGTAACTGGATGAGGGAGGTCATGTCGTTGTCGTCCGCGTATGCGTTGGTGAGGTCGTCAGTGATCATGGGAGTGGAGTCCGAGTCATTGGTCTGGAAGTCGGCGTCGTGGATCCAGCGACGTCGAGCATGATGTTCATTGGCTGCACGTTCGAACCTCTGCTGTAGTTCGGCGGTGCGGGGGGGATTGAACGCAGCGGTAGTCTGGAGTCTGGATGCCGCAGTTGACTGCCATGCCTGCGTACAAATACGTTCGGCACGCCGACGGAGCTGAGCATCAGTTTGGCCACGAAATAGGACTTGAAGACCGCCTCGACGAAGATGACGAAGAATAAAGGTTTCGCACCATTCATGCCAATCATCGACGTCCCATTCATGTAGTGGTTGATCAAGGTAAATCGAGGGGAGCCAGTCGGAGGCCCAGTGCTGCAGGCATTCTGCGATGATCTCGAGCTCGTTGGCTGCGCTACGCATGTCATGGTCATCATCATCTGGCGTATTGGGAATATGTAGATGTAGTGGTGGAAACCGTTGAAGGCGTCCAGAGTCGGGATTGGCAGCAGACGGCACCGACGGGAGGGCGGGGAACCAGGCCCGAAGGCGGGCGGCGAGGGTGGCGTCGAAGGAATCTTCGTAGAGCGAGCGCTGCAGCGTGATGATGCAAGTGGTCTGCGGAGATTTCTTTGGAGGCTCATCGCCAGCACGGCGAAGTTTGTCCATGACACGAAGAGCAGCAGCTCGAGCGAGTTCATGAGCTTGGCGTAGCTGACGGTGAGCCAGATGGTCGTGATGGCGGCTGCGCTTGATGATCTTGAAGATGGTGCCCTTGTGGGTGGAGTAGTTGTCGCCGAACTTGGCCGCCCGCAGGCGCTGTGCGACCGAAGTGGCGGAGGCCCAACACGGCGCGGTCCAAAGTCCCTGGGCAACTCGGACGAGTGGAATCTGATCGAGTGCAGCAAGATGGTGTAGTTCGAGAAGCTGGGGCCAGACGTTGATGGTGGAAGTGGCAGAGCGCCACAGCGTGGCGGCAAGCAGGACTTCGACACCAATGGGGATGGCGCAGCCTGCCCAGTTCGTCATGCCGAGGATGTCGGGCTTGGTGAATGCTGAAGGAACAGATCTGATAACTTTGTGAAGGGCATGAATTTCCTTGGAAAGAACGAGCTCTGGAGCAGGAAACAGTTGTCCGACGTAGGTGAGGCAGGTGATCGCGGAAGTGTTGTACAGCGAAACGTTCATCTGGATGGCCGCGGAGGCGTCGCCCAAGATCTGAGTACGGTGGTACCACTTGGCCGCAGGGGCGGCCCATTGCGCACGATCATCAGCACAGGGACCGACGTAGACTCCGAGGTACTTCAAGTGTGCTAAGACGCAGCCAATGTCATCGGCACAAGCACTGGCCATGCCACGGCCAATCTGATGAAAGTGGCGTTGAATTCCACGTAGGATGGGGTCGAACACCAGAGCCCAGATGGTGCCACTGAGTGGGCAGCCCTGAGCTACTCCGCTGGCTGCAACGAGTAAAGGTCGACGTGTGCCTCCCAGCTCGAGGAAGGCGATGGGCGAGGCGTAGAAGGACTGGAGGAGGCGACGGACGCGGCCATCAATCCCCCATCGGCGAATCACTTCCCATAACCAAGCGTGAAGCAGGCTTGGGAAGGCGGCGGCGATGTCCATACTGAGGAAGCACGGCATGTGCTCGGCGGCGTTGTCCATGGTGCTGTATATGCGGCTGTACGTGTCGGCTTCGACTATGTTGTTGAGGAATTGGCGGCCAGGTACGAAGCCTCGTTGGATACTCGACACTTGCTTGACTAGCGGATGTAGCTTGCGGTTGATGGCGGAGGCAGCAATCTTGACGCCGGTGTTCTTCATCGCGAGAGGGCGGAGTTGGCCTGGCGACCGATAGCATTCGGCATGCCCAGCAGGTGCATCACCTTTTGGTAGCATGGCTAGTAGAGCGTGATTCCAATCGTGCGGGATGATGTTGTTGGCCGAGTTGTTAGCCACGAGCTCTTCCAGGATCTCGAAGCTGTTGGGAGTAGAAGTCCATGCTTTGCAAGGAAGGCCGTCTGGACCTGCGGCGGAGTCATGTGCTCGTTTTGCTGCTTCTTGAAGCTCTTCAGCGTTGGGGAGTTCCAGCGCAACAAGGTCACGTTGGGGGAAGACGGAGTCCAGGTAGGTGTTCATGTTGGCAGTGTTTACCGGCTTGTCTGCGAAGATCGGGCCCCAGTGCGCTAGTATGGCGTCGTGCATGTCGGACGGCGTCTTGGCGATGACGGAGGAGTCGCCTTGCGAGATTCGAATGCCAGCGAGCACCAGACGCTTGGAGAAAGGCTTCCAAAGCTCTCCCAGCCTGCGTGTAGCACTGGCCCGTTTCCGCCACCTGTCCCCTTGTTGACGCTGTAGACGTTGGTAAGCATCACGGGCACGTGCGGCAGCGAGGGCTCGACGTTCTTCAGCGACAGCAGCATGAACTTCAGCGGCGGCATCGGCGAATGCGTTGACGTTGCTGAGGCAGACCTTGCTCGAGGGGATGTCGGTAGAGTTGTCGGTGATGATCAGTAAGTGCTTGGAGCCCAGGTGGGTGGTGTCGATGAGGAGGCGCGCAAGCTTGATGTCCTGATACCAGACCGCGCGGGAGATGTTTCTCATGGTCATCGAGATGAAATCCTTGGAGATCGAGAGATGGTCGCGTGCAGGGGCTTCAGGCGGTAGCCGCGCAAGTGCATCTCGCGTGGATTTCGCAGCGTTCGTCATGTTGGCTTTCAGCGTGCGCCACTTGATGATGGGCGTGAGCGATTCGTACTCGGTGTCGGAGGAGAGCTTGTCGATGAAGAACTTGTAGAAATCGGAGTTGAAGAGGTAGGCGGGGATGCCTCGTTCAGCGTGGGGCCGTTGAGCTCGGGGGCGAAATCGGGCATGAAGGAGTTTATGGTCACTGGCTGGTATTCCTTTCCGTTCGAGTGGCGAGTCGTCGGCAACCATGATCGTCTCAATATGGGTGAGATTATGTGCCTGGAAGGAGGTGAAGAAGCGATCAATGCTTGACTCAGTGTTGTTCGCGCAGCAGCGGTGGGTGGTGGATGGCGTGCAGATCTCGACCAGCGGTCGAAAGAGCTGCTTCCAGAAGGCGGGCTGGAACTGGTATCGTTCTTGAGCAGGCACTTCGACAGGGCGTAGTAGATTGCGGGCAGGTAGCTCAGAGATGTTGAAGTCGCCGAGCATGAAGAACAAAACGTGCTCAGGGTCGCTGCTTGCTTCATTCATTGCCACTTGCCACGTGGCCTTGATCCGTCTTCGGTCGTCAGCAGATAGATCATGGTTATGAATGTTGGGGTAGATATGGAGGTACTTCAGGCTGGGGTCACGGATTCGCAGTTCGGCGACTCGGCCAGGTATGACCGCGGAGAAGTTGATCATCGGCTTGGAGTTGTCTTGGTCGCCGCAGGGGATGAACTTTGGGATGAGGAAGGCGACGCCGCCCG